GCCTTTCAAAACTCCCAAGGTCACCAAAGGTCAATAATAAAATCACAAAATAACAATAAACAATAAATACAATAAACTGAATTACAATAAAATAGTGGAAAGTTTTTGTTTTACATGTTAATTTCCCTGAATTAAAAAGCACTTTGTTCATATTTGGTTGTCTTAATGTTGTATTAATACACCAACACTGACAGTTTGAGATAGCCACCGCAGCTTACTGACCTTAGCCAAAACAAWAAAGGTTAAACTTCAGCGAAACAGACAATGAACTCAGACTTTGTGTTTTAATAGTTGAGAGTCGTCTCTGACACATCAAAGAGCAGATCATGCAGGATGACATGAGATGATCGTGCATAATGTTATTTTCAAAGTTGCCTTCCGTTCCGCTCAATTCTAGTTTCCTTCTCTGGATCTCTCCGGTGGAATTTCAACTGGACCAATCAGGCAACAGAAGGAGGAGTTGTTGATTTTCTGCACCGTTTCAGTCTGTGTTGACAAGGCTTTCAAATTAAATTTTATTTTTTTTCACAAAGTCTGCAGCACTCATTTACAGCCACCTCGTTGGGTTCGTTTACAGCGCACGTAATTTCCTGTTAGCTTCTTAGCTTCCTTCATGGTTGAGCTGGCGCTCTACATACGTTACAGCCAAACTTTAGCGACAAATCAGATCCAATCGTTTTAAACTTCAGTAGAGTCCACTCCAGCAAGAAATTGCTTCTCAATATCCAAGAGTCCAGACCATCTGTAGGAAGCAAAGTGTAGAACAAGGGGCTGTTTTTTTTTTTTTTTTACCAGGGTAAGAAATGGTTGAAACTCTTTCATTTCTCAACATAATACCTGCATCACACACCAAAAGAACTGTGCCAATTTTTGGCCTGATTTTTCTCTCCTGACATCCTTTAGGTCACTCCGATTATGGTGATTGCTCTAAAAAGTATAAGGAGATCAGTGGCGGATCTAGGATTTTTCTGAGTAAGGGGCCATCAAGGGGCCACAATATTCATAGAGGGGGAAGGTATTTGTTCAACATCCTTTCATACAAATCCCCAGTTTTGGTAAGGTGTATATACAGTGGTTTGCAAAAGTATTCATACCCCTTGAACTTTTCCATATTTTGTCACATTACAACCACAAACATAAATATATTTCACTGGAATTT